GACTGGTTGCATCATACTTGGTCTCTGCACATCTTTTCCTGGCTTTGTGGCTGCTTTCTCGCGACCTGTGTGCACACGTTCCCATTTTGCCTTTCCAGCCCATATCACATACCACTGCTAACTTTTACAGCAGCTCTGTGTTACCTAGCTGATACTCCTAATGGATAGCTCAAGAAGGAGAAATGTGTCAGATTCCACGAAATAATTCAGGAATATTCTAATAAAGTATTTAGTAATAATTCAGGAATATTCTAATAAAGTATTTAGTGATGGTTAATTTTATGTGTCAATTTAACTCAGCCATGGGTTGCCTAGATGTTTGGTCAAACGTTATTCTGGATGTTTGTATGAGGGTTTTTTTTTTTTTAAGGTTTTACTTATTTGAGAGAGAGAGAGTGCCTGCGCAAGTAGTTGGGGCAGAGGGGGAGGGAGAGGGACAAGCTGACTCCACGCTGAGTGTGGAGCCTGACCTGGGGCTTGATCCCACAACCCTGAGACCATGACCCAAGCCGAAACCAAGAGTCAGATACTTAACAAACTGAGTCACCCAAGAGCCCCTGTATGGGGGTGTTTTTGGATGAGATCAACACTGAAATCAGTAGACTAAGTAAAACAGATCGACATCTCTAATGTTGATGGGCCTCATCCAATCAGTTGAAGACTGACTGATTCTGAAGAGAATGAAAAGGCTGACCCTCCCCCAAATAAGGAGGAGTTCCTCCTGCCTGACTGCCTCTGAGTGGGGACATGGATTTTTCCTCTGCTGTTGACTTACACTGAAACATCAGCTCTTCTTGGGCCAGGTCCGAACTTGGGTTGGAACTACACCATGGGCTCCCCTGGGTCTCCAGCTTCCAGATGACAGATCTTGGGACTTGTCAGCCTCCATAATCGTGTGAGCCAATTTCTTGTAATGAATTTCTTTCTACATATATATGTATGATATATTCTCTTTCCTGGAGTGCCCTAACAGTCAGTATAAGCACTAGCCCACTGGTTCTCAAAGCATTGGTCCCCGTGTGCAGCAGTATCTGCATCACCAAGAGACTTGTTAGAAATGAAAATTCTTGAGCCCATCCCAACCTACTAAATCAGAAACTCTGGGGCAAGGCCTAGCAGTGTGTGGTTTCAGAAGCCCTTCAGGTGATTCTGATACATGCTTACATTTGAGAATCACTCTATCAGGCTAAATATATCACATCGGTAATTTAATCCTTCCTTGCTACTCAAAGTGTGATGCAGGGACCAGAAGCATGGGCATCATCTGATACTGGTTAGAACTGCAGACACTCAGGCCCCACTCCAGACCAGTGGAATCAGAATCTGTATTTTTAACAAGATTCCCAGGGGGATCCGTGGGTCCCTGCGTTTGCACTCAACAATCCTGTAAGGTGAGTATGAGCCATCCTGAGGCCTGGATCGTCTCTGGGCCTGCCAGTTTGGCTTACCCTGGGCTCCTGAGCTCAAGTCTTAAAATTAACCCTCTATTACTTGAAGTGATTTAAGTGACTCCCTGGTCCCCGGAACACAAAGGGCCTTCTCAGACTCAGATCAGCAAGTCTGGGGCACATCTGTCACTTCAGCCCCACCCCTCACTGCACCCCAAGTTCTAGGCTCACTCTGTGGATGTGATTACCTGGGACTACTCACCACCTTCTTCATTTACGTGGGTTTTCTTTTTTCTCTGTGTAAGCCTTGTTTATCCCTATTCCAGTGGGAGCTTCTAGAGCTGTGCTCTCTAACATGATTGGCATTAGCCATATGTGGTCACTGAGCTCTTGAAATAAGACGAGTCTGCATTGAGATGTGCTGCAAGTACAAAATATATCCCAAAGGCTGAAGAATGTAAAATATCTCATTAATAATTTTATGTTGATTAAATGTTGAAATGACAGTATCTTGGTTATACCGGGTTAAGTAAAATATTTTATGAAAATTGACTTCACCTGTTTTTTCAAATGTGGCTACTAGAAAATTTAAGATTATATACATGGCTCACATTATATTTCTGTGGACAGTTGTGCTGGAGGACAGGACTGTGGCCCCTCCGTTAGAAAGAAAGCTCCCAGAGGGCGGGTGCCATGCCTCTTCTTTGCTCTGTACCAAGTCTCTGTGACCAGCCCCCTGGAGGAGGGTGAGTGTCGGGACTGGCCATAGAGAGCCCTTCCGGGGCTCACACTAGGGCTGCATCCCACTGCATAAGGCGATGACCAGTCCTATCGTTAAGGCACTTGTGCTCATGGAGGATGTTACATGTTTCCTGGTCCCGGTTACCAAACAGGAAATCAGATGAGGGAGCATATTCCTCTATTCTCCATGCAAAGATTTCTCTCTGGACGTCGTTCTCAGGATGTTAGCAGCAGGCTCAAATATTACAAGGCCACATTTTCCGGGTACCTACATTTGCCGCTGCTGCACTGATCCTTACACACCCCTGCGGGGCAGCTGTGGGTTCGAGTTTACAGAAAAGGAAATAAGGCTCCAAAAGGTCAAGTTCCCCATAGCGAGAAATTAGTGGAGCTAAAATCCAAGACCCTGTACCAACACTGCCTTCTGAGCTTGACCACTAGGGGGTCAAAATCTTCACATATGAATTACACTCTTAATTCTAGGGCCTCTGCTCTTTCCAAGTAAGAAGCATAGCACAGAGCTGGTGAGAAGGCAGGTGGCTGCTAGATCCCTTTGTAAGAATCCCCACTTCCTTCCAGGCCTATGGTCTATGGGGTGGTCCTAAGCCACACCCCAGTGGAAACCAGCCTTTGATGCAGAAGCAGAATGTATACAGGGCCACTCACATTTAAAGATGCTGCAGCCTTTAGGCCATTCTCTAGGTCCTAGGATTAGAAGACAAAACACCTTCAGTGGTCTGGGCCTGAGTCTCCCCAAATTAAAACCAAAGGAGAGGACGCAGGGTTGAGAGTCTTTGTCTCCCCTTATTCCTCTATAGCCCTCCCACCTTCTTTCCTCCCTGTTGCCCACATCTCAGCAAAACAGGAAAAATTTTAGTAGGTCATCAGCTCTAACTTCCTCAATAATGGGAATTGAAAAAAAGATTTCATATTACCTGGGTTTTATATACCTCCTCTGCATGCCTAACCCATTCCATTCTTTTCACATGGATCACAGAAAACAAAGGCTAGCCGTCTATAGAGACCACTGAATTAAAACCCTTTCTCTGCAGAAACAGAGGGCCAGAGGTTTAAAATTACACATATGATTGGCAAAAGTTGGGCCCAGAACCCTGGAACTCTGACTCATAATACCCCATTTCTCTGGCAATAAACAGAAAGCCAGAAAAGAGGTATTACAGACTGAATTTCTGTGTCCCCACCCAAATTCCTAGGTGGAAGCCCTAACCTTCAGTGTGACTGTCTTCAGAGACGGGGCCTGGGAAAAAGTGATAAAGGTTCAATGAGGTCATAACAGCGGGGCCCTACTCTAGTAGAGCTGTTGCCCTTATAAAAAGAGGAAGAGACACTGGAGCTCTCTCTATGCCATATGAGGACAGAGTGGCCATCTACAAGCCAGGAAGAGAGCTCTCACCAGAAACCAGACCCAGCTGGACCCTGACTTCAGACTTCCAGCCTCCAGAACTGTGAGAATATAAGTGTCTGTTATTGAAGCCATGTAGTGTGCAGTTATTTTGTTATGAGAGCTTGAGTTGACTAATACAGGGGGGAAAGTAATTTTTATTTGTGAGCCTCAACTCAAAGTTTGGATATTGAAAACTATAGAAGAAAGCACAGTACCAGAATTGTCCTAGATGAGGGCCATTCAGAGACTCTGATCAGGGGCCACTTTCTATCTGGAATGCTCCAGCCCACAGGCAGTTGAAGGTCATTAAAAGGAATGAGTCACTCAGTTAAAGAATTTGGGGAAAGCATCCAAACTATGCACATTCTGTTCCGTGAAACAGCCTGTCTGTCTTTCCATGATGTAGGGAAGCAGGGAAAACATTGGCCCAGGTGTACTTCACCCCTTCTGGAACCTTCTCTGGTTACTTTAATCCTCATATACAGTGCCCCCAAAACCAGGTTCAGAAGACTGTCTCCTGAGAGGGGAGAATGTGAGTCTTTACTTCTGGTTTATTAGCCCTTAGAAAGGCCTGTAAGGGTCGAGGGAACCTCTGACAAACCCCCACATCCTTTTGGACATCAGGCCTTTAAGCGGCAGCCAGTGGCCTGAACTGGAAATGTTCTCCCCAGTGGAGGGGCTTCAGCATGTGGGGGATACACTAGCAGCAAAAGAAACAGTTTTACGGATGGTCAAATGGTGTATTTATCTCCTATATATTTTTCTGAGTTTAACAAAATTTTTATAAATAGGCGAGGGTTACTTTATAATGATGATAAGAAACACTGTTCATTCATTCTCCAAATATTTCAGTATCTATCCTGTGCCATGAAGTTTTCTGGACGCTAGAGATAGAGCATAAAGGATACCAAGTCCCTTGCCTCCTAGCATTTCTAGTTAAAGGTAAGGGTGGAGGAGAGAATTAAAAAAATGGGAAGCAGTGATGAGTGCTGGAAGACAATATTCAGGGGGGGTGGGAGGATGGAAAGTCTTGGCTATGGGGTGGTCAGAAAGGGTCCTCTAAGGAGGGGACACATGAGCAGAGACGTGAAGGAGGTGAGGGCTGTGGACAGAGCTCTTGCTTTGACAGGGAATGGCAGGGCAAGGCCCTGCGGCTAGCTCAAGGAAGGGCAGGGGGCCTGGCCGAGAGTGGGGGATGGGTCTCAGTCTCAGCGTGAGGGGAAGCCATTGGAAGGCTGGAGCAGGAAAGTGAGGTGATGTGAGCTGGACAGTGTCTCCTGGGACGCTTCCCTTGTTCGCAGGAACCACGTTTCCCCCATTAGATGAAAGGTCCTGAAGTTCAGGGATGGGCATGCTTTCTCTTGCCGGTTGCTCTTCTGCCCGAGAGAGGGCGGACGCAGGAGCTGCAGGCCTTGGGGAAACTGACAGCTTGTCTTCCCCCACGGCTCTCACTTCCTGAAACTCACCTTCCACCGTCAACTCCACTGTCACCTGGCGGGCACCACTATCATTGGCGGCTTCACAGGTATACTTTCCCTTGTCTTCCTCACAGACAGCACGAATCACAAGGCTGAAAGCTCCCCGGACACCACAATCCAGCAGGAAGCGGCCCCCGCTGGTGATGGGTTGCCCGTTTCGGTGCCATGTCACGTGGGGCTCTGGGTAACCCCGGACCTTTAAGGAAAAGAAGAAAGGGTGAGCGCTTATATTTCAGGAGTGCTTCCTACGTGCTAGGTGTGGTTCTGAGTGCTTTACACGTATTAACTCATTACATTCCTTGAAGCAGATACGACTTTCACGACATGAAGAAACTGAGGCACAGAGAGTCTTGCGGTAGATTTCCTGAGATCTCAAAGGTCAAAAGGGGCAGAGCCAGGCATCCTGGCTCCAGGGCCCACTACACAAGTGACTCAAGCCTGGTTGCACATTAGAATCACCAGAGGAAGCTTAAAAAAAATACCAGTGCCCAGCGCCTACCTTGGACCAATTAAATCAGAATCCCAGGGGGTGAGGACTGAGCGCGGCCATTCTAGACCAGTGCTTCCCATTCAGATATGCAAATAAATCACTGGTTAAAATGCAGATTCTGCTTCTCTAGGTCTGGGGTGGGGCCTGAGATTCTTCAGTTCAGACAAGGTCTCAGATGATGCTGATACTTCTGGTCTCCAGAACTAAAAAGGTTCTAGACTTGAGTTGCCTGGGATGGTAGCCAGGCCAGCCACACGGGGCGATGGAGCACTCCAAGTGTGGCTAGTCCTAACTGAGCTGCACTGTTAGTATAAATTACACACTGGGTGTTGAAGGCTTAGTATGAAAAAAAGAACGTAAAATTATCTTGATGATTTAAAAATATTGATTACATGTTGAAAGATCCTATTTTTGACATGTTGGGTTAAGTGGAATATATTGTAAAAATTAATTTAACCTGTTTCTTTTTACTTTTTTAATGAGGTACTAGAAAAGTTACAACACCACGTGGGCTTTTGCTTGATGTTTTTACGGAGCAGGGCAGCTTTAGACCGCTCTAATACTAGTTAGTAGCTAACATCTGTTGAGCACTAAGTGTTAAGCCCTTTTCTAAGTACCTGACACATGTGAGCCTTACAGTAACTTGTTTGGAGAGAAGCTATTTCCCCAAAGAGGGAAAAATTAAGAGAGACAAATTCCAAGAAAAGAAATCACCTTGGGTTTCAGAGAAAGAAGTTTCCTCTAAACCCTGAAACTCAACAGGCCCATGAGAATGGACTCATCTTCAAAGGAGCAGGGTTCAGACTGGCCCATTGATGCACAGCCTGGGACCCAGAATTAAGGGATTTTAGCACTGGAAAATGCATAGCATACATCACAGAAGTCTTCTGAGAAAGTAGTTGTTTGTATTATAAAATGGTGGTAGCAGTAGCTCTTAACCCATGTATCCACGGCAAGACAAGAGACAATGGATATGGATGAAACAAAACCAAAATTTGCTGGATGACCCCAAATTGACTTTACAAAGAAAGCCTTCAATGACCTCCTCACACCCCAGCAAGCTCAGAGAAGATGCTATATCAGCACAGGAGAGAGAGCATCCAAACCTGGCATCCAAACACAGTGAGCTCCCTAAGCACACCAACGCAGAAACAACTGTGCTAACAATTTCAGGGGTCATCTTTGGACTCCGCTCACTTCCTTTCCCAGGCATCCCACCTCCTACTCACCCTCAAACCCACTTCTCAGTAGCCCGGGTTGCAGATGTCTTCCTAGGGAAGGAAGCCTGGAAACACAGGGGAAAACCCCCAAAGTGAACAATCCCCTCTTTGGTTATTCCATAGTCACCCCATCAGTGCCACCTTATAAATCTCACAAGGCCCGCCTCCCCATCCTCACTAATTCGTAGTCTGGCCTCAGTTAAAAAAAAAAAAAAAAAGAACAGCAAACAAAAAAATCAAAACTTCAAATCAATATTGTTCATCATATTTATAAATTCTGGGGGAAAAAATCCCTTTTCCGTTAAAATTTAAGCCATCTTCATGACAGAGATTGAGTATCTGTGAGGGAACGCTGAGATTCTGAAGTCATGTCCCCCAGAAAGAGACAACAATGTTTGTCACCAGCGCACTCACATCCTCTCTGAGGTGGATCGTGATGAGGGGTCCACATTCACTTGGACAGATAAGCTCTGACATCTATTATATATAATATGAAACAAAGTGTTAACTGTGCTTTATCTCTGGGTTTCTCCTCTTTTTCTTTACTGAACAATTATTTTCTGGTATTTCTACAAATAACATATCTGGCCTTTGTGAAATAGAAAAAAATTTAAATGAAAATACGTTTCTCTTTTTCCTTTTTTTTAAGATTTATTTGAGAGCCAGAGCGTGCGCACGCAGAGTCGGGGGCGGGGTAGAGGGAGAGAGAATCTCAAGCACACTGTGCACTGAGCATGGAGCTCGACGCGGGCTCCATCCCACAACCCATGAGATCATGACCTGAGCCAAAACTGAGTCAGACGCCCAACCGACTGAGCCACCCAGGCGCCCCATGTTTCTTTTATATTAGTATGTATAATAAACACACAGCACAAACATTCGTTAATTTGTTGAGGCCCTCAAGGTACTTAAATCTAGCAATGGAAATAAAAGCACTCTACAAATAAACATCATGCATCTTTGATGGTGACAAATGTGTACCCATATAAAATCATGTCCTCCTGTGATGCTATCTTGGCAAAAGTTCATACAAAGGAACATCAGACAACAATTACTTTGTTAAAGCATATTTTTGGAAAACTACTAAGGAAAATACTCTTTCCTATAAAAGGAAGCCCACTAAAAGTCTGGTCCTATAGGGAGTTTGCAAATGACCATTATCTTCTCCTCTGCCCCATTAGGCATGGCCAGCCTAACCTCCAGAAGATGATTACACAGCCTTCTGTGAGCTTCAGAGAAAGGGAGCAGAGCACTGTAATGGGAGGAGATAAATCATTAACTTCACCAAAGGCATGGTTAGCATTCCATTAGCTAGTACTCTGGCCCCCTGCAGCAAGGCGACTCCCGTGGCCCACAGGCCCGGGGGCATCAATGATTAACTGGGGACATTGCAAGTGTTCTAGACCTCACGGACTCAGCTCTCTCTTTCCTTTCAATTTCCTCTTGCTTTCTACACCACCCCCTCCCCCCAGCCAATTTGCCTGTGAAATGCTGCATTAAAATACATTTTAGATTTTTAAATATGCTGAAACTGGTGCCTCTTAGAAAGCTGCAGTTTGCTGTGCGACTTTTGTAGCACCTTGTGTCTGAAGCACAGGCAAGGATTTCTGTGACCTCGCCCAGTTCCCAGGTCTGAAATGATTTGCAGCTCCAATTCTTATCTTCCCAATAGCAGAAAAACTTGCTCAACCACTACCTAATAATACCTAAAGACAATCAGCTTCATGGAAACCCATTTTTACTGTCTGCCCACTATCCTGCACTCCTGGGTGGGGAAGAGAAAGAAGCCTGGGCTCACCTCCTTGGGATGCAAGACAACAGCTCTGCCTTCCCTGGGTGCCTTATCTGCCTTCATCACAGGCCTTCGGCCAAGAAGCCACAGCTAGGATTTTTATAGTCTGGTCCAAGGCCACACTAAAAACCCACGGATATTTTAGTTTTTAGAGGACCTTCACATATAGAATCTTATTTGATTCTTGCAACCCTATGAGGAAAGGGTCTTGGATTGGGGTACCCAGAAGCAGAACCTGAAACAGGGATTCAGGGAACCCCATCTGTGAACCCTTAGCCAACACAGCTGCTGGGAATGGGTATACTGGCCTGGTGAAGGGGGTCTGGGTGGGGCTCCAACAGTGTCAGTGACGACAAGCAAAGCCAATCATATTACTGAACCCAGAGAGCTGAGGAAAGAGGCCCAAAGAAGTCGATGATTAGCCAGTAAATGGCAGATCGAGTGGAGATCTGGGACCACAATTTTGGTCTCCAAGTTGAGTGGTTGTCTCTCTATTCCTCATTGTAAATTCATGTTTTTAGTGAGACAAATACTATAGAACCTAAAGCACTGATAAGCGTCTTTCCCTAAGAGACCCTAAATCTCTTCTAGGTTAAAGCAATGTCTGTTCCCCCCTTGGAGAAAAAGTCAAAAGGTTCATAAAAGATATGGCCATGCCATACACAAGCCTTGGGTTGTTCCCCCAGAGTAACAATAGGGCAGAGCTCTAGACTAAATGTTTGTGTCCTTCCAAAATTCGTAAGTTGAAATTTAACTCCCAATGTGATGGTATTAGGAGGTATTAGGATGGGGCCTTTGGGAGGTGATTAGGTTGTGAAATTGGAGCCTTCATGAATGGGATTAGTGCCCTTATAAAAGGGACACTGAAGAGCTCCCTCACCCCTTCCCCCATGTGAGGACACAGCAACAAGACAGTCATCTATGAACCAAGAAGCAAGCCCTCACCAGATACTGAATCTAGCCGTGCCTTGATCTTGGACTTCCGGCCACTAGAACTGTGAGAAATAAATTTCTGTTGTTTAAGCCCCCCAGTCCATGGTATTTCTGTTCCAGCAACCTGAACAGTCTAAAATAGACTGGATTAGTGCCGTACGTGTGCAGGAGTCCTGGGACTGGCAAGGCTTCCTAGCCCCTTCAGATTGTAATTCCTTCTTTCATTGAAGAGAAAACAGCTCCTGATAGCTAAGGCCCCTTCCATCAGGGGGCCTTGGGCAGTATACCGAGGTAGTATGCTTCTGAATGGTGACCCACTTAGCTTCCCGTTTCTCCCTCCAGTCTCCTCTGGGTCCAGCCCACAGCCTTCGTACCCTCTAATCCTCCATACAGGAAAACCAAGTGACCACAAGGAGACATGCTCATGGACACGAACAGGCAGCCTTGACTTTTCACCATAATGAGTTTTTGGCAACAGCCCCACAGAGGGTCATTCTAAGGAGAATCGTATTTTTGCCACAGTAACCACATTTAATTGGAGGTTGTGTTCTTGAACAAAAGCCTGGGATCAAATAAACCAAGAGCATAACCAACAACTTGTCATAAAAATAAAGATACAGTAACCATAACGCCTATAATAATTTAAAATAGTAAAACTGTGTTCCAGCTCCATAAAATGTCCTCAAAAACCTTTATGTCCTCAAAAGGCCTTTAAAGGGAATGGGGGCTCATTCTGCATGTGTTGGATGATGAGGAGAAAG